TATGTAGTTATTTACTCTAATAAAAAAGTACTTCCATTCAGTCATGTTAAGCCTTTTTTATATAAATTATAATAATAAAAAAGTACTATATGAAATTAGCCTTTCATCTAAATTAAAACATCAATCTTAGTCATTATTTACTATTATACTTCCTTTCTTGCGTTAGGGTTGCCGCAATTATTTTTGGCAGCATTGGCATCAACAATAGTTTGGCGATTTTTTATGGCCCTCAAAATCGAATAGTACCTATTTTTTAAATAATTTCAATATATTACCTATATTTTAATGAAATTTATCAATGTTACGATGTTTAAAAAAAAAATCGTCGAAAAATTCTCAGATCTTGGAATTAAAAATTTTCTATAGAAGCTGATCGTAAAATTCGCCAAACTGTTAATAAGTCGCCAAATTTAGAACCGTTTAATAAAAAGAATTCACATCCCCAAAGCGAAAAGTTGTTTAAGAGCTCTTTATTAAAAAAAAAAAAAAGAGAGAGAGAGATATTTCGAAATGTTCATGTCTTACTTTTTGCTTAGATATTCGAGTATTCCATCATTTATATTAGAAATAGAAACAAATTATAAACCTATGAAGCCCATTCAAAAGATAACCATATGTGTCAGTGAAATGCCAAAAATATTCCTACAAAATGCTAATTCACATTTGACAGGCAGTCGTAAAAACAGACAGAAATTTCAGATGATTAAAATTAAGGCCCTTCTACCGATTTTGACGAAAATTAAGGACTTAGGGCCAAAATCGGATTCCAAAAATCTAAGGACTTTTAAGGACCGTACGAACCCTGTGTACTATACATGGAGATTATTCTGACCAAAGTACGTCTATGTAAAAAGCGGAGGGAAAATTTGCCAAGGGATTTGACGACGGAACGGCCAGAATTTCCCTCTCCGCGATGAGTACAGGAAATTGAGAAACACGTGTTAAGAAGAAACGTTCTTTGACAAAAAAGAAAACTACGAAAATCCGTTTTTAAATTATTGCGAAAAATCCAAGAAGAAACGTTTTATCAAAGAACGTTTTTTTTCTTGGATTTTTCGCAATAATTTTAAAAACGGATTTTCGTAGATTTTTTTCCCCCCCGTCAAAATAACTAATCCATGAATTAATTTACTTGCGCCAAAAAATTTTTCTTTTCCTTAGAGTTTAAAGACATTTTAAACAATATTCATTTTATGAACTCTTGATAACGTGACCTTCGAACTTCGACCTCCGGTTTTCGAGCTTTGGCGACAGATACTACTCGCGCCATGCCACAGCTGTTTCCCGCTTATGATGGAACCGAGCCACGTCTGTTGCAGAGAGGTTTTTTCCTTCTTTACAATACATATTTTTTTTAATTCTAACCTTCATAATACCGTATACTAGGATTAAACCCATTTTGTTTTATACGAGAACAGGTACTTTCTTTAGTTCATGCACTGCACATGCGATTCTCGAGGTTACTGGAAACCAAAAGTTGCGGGAAACTTGCTTGCCTTACTAAAAAGACAATCAATTTGGAGCTGCGAAAATTGGCTCTATGCCAGCTGCCCGAATGACACTCACGTGATACACAATTCGCCAAAAAAGTGATCTCTTCCGACGTCGGCGCAAAACTCGCCTTTTTTTGACGGGATCGTTGTATGAAATTCCCTGACTTTTCCAGATTTTGACTAAAACACTTAAATTCCCTGACTTTTCCCTGAATTTTTTGGTCAATTTCCGAATTCTGACTTTTTCCGGTTTTCCAGGTAGCGTGGCAACCCTGAAATAACATGTGTCTTGACCAAACTTCATGGGGGCACCGTGCTATTTTTACAGATGAGTCAATATTCAAATTGAACTCTGATTCTCAGTGTACCTGTACCTGAAGAGAACCTGGAACATGATAACATCCCTTCCTCTTCAGAGAAATGGATCCCTGATGAGATACCCCATATTAGACTCATTTTCAGTTTGTTATCACAACGTAGATTTCGGACATCCCTGCAGTATGAGCTTTACAGATAATCATGTGTACATAAAATGACTTCTGAATGGTTTACATTCATTTAGGTAAAAATAACATGCCACACAAATATTAATTTAGACGTCAAAGAACAAAAATTAGCATTATATTTGCAAATTTTCACAGGACTAGTTTTGATGGTTTTACCGAACCTCATCCTCAGCTAACAAAGAGCAAATGAATGAGATAGGATATAGTGATAAGATAAGATAAGACTGGCTGGACAGGAATTAAGCTACTGGTGCAATCTTTTTCTACAGCCAAAATTATTCAGAAAACATCTTCCACTGGTGAATTAGATTTTCTAGAGGCGTTTCACATTAAAAATATATATATCTGTTCCAGTTAATGACCCTAATTCCAATCCATCTTTAGCTTCAGCGTTTAAGGAAATTGTGTTTTAATTTTTCTTGTTTCATCAATAGATAATAACACTAGCTTAACTCCTGTCCTGCCATTCTTATCTTATCTCATTCATTTGCTCTTTGGCAGCTGAGGATGATGGTTCGGTAAAACCCTTGAAACTAGTCCTGTGAAAATTTGCAAATATAATGCTGATTTTTGTTGTTTGACTTCTAAATTAATATATATTCATGCCAAATTTCATTAAAATTTATCCATTAGATTTTCAGAAATTTAACATAATGTGCAAATTCTCTTAATTTTGCAAACAAGTGTATATTAAAGAACAGGGAGTCAGTATTAGAGTAATGTCCAATGGTCTGGCATCTGAAGGCCCGTCCACACGAGGACGCTCCCGACGTAGTTGACGTAACGTTTTTGACGGCGGCGTAAATTCGCAGGACGCAGAAGACGTAAAACTGAGTACGCTTCTGTTCAGCTTTTTCGCCCCGCGCCGCGCCATATAGCCAATAGCCGACCGAGTTCTTATCACGTGTCATAATCAGAAAAACCTTCTTGCTTACCTTTCAATTTCAGAGCCACACAGAGATGAGTTTTTGCTTAGAAATGTAACTGTATACTGTAATAAAATAATCAGCATTGTTCACGCCATCTTCAGATTTCTCAAACAAACCTACAGATTGGTATACATTTAAAATTCTCATTAAAGGGGAAAGACTGTATACCTTATTAAGCAATGATCCCCAGTATATCCATATGCTTCACCTATTTATAACACCATAAGTAATAGGAACCTAAATAAATTACAGTTCCTACGAAATCAAAGTTTCTGCCTTACAAAATTCTCCTTAATTATTATAAATATTGGCTATATCATGTGTAATAAAAAGCTCTATAAATATCCCAATTTAAATACACCAAAAAACTAACTTCAGCAATATAATAACTTCTAAAATAAAGCAGTTGACTGTGAAAGAGTATTCAATAAAATACAATTACGAAATTTTGGAGGAAAGTTACAACCTGTGTCATACAGCAAAATCATTTATTGAAGTTTAATTAAATTACCTTTGTAGCGACTTCTACTTGATACATTATTTTTCAGAAAACACTGCCTATCACAGATAGCTGAGTGGTTAGCGCGCTGCTTTGGTGGCGGAAGGAATGGAAAGGTAGCGAGTTCGAACCTCACCCGTAGATGGTGTTAAGTTCAGTTAACTTTTCTCATTTTGAAACGTGTTTCTTACATTTAATCATGAATTATTATATTCTTATTTTATCTATTATTACTGTTTTCATTTCTTATTTTATTCATTATTATTATTGTTTTCAATTTAGTTTTAAAAGCTAATTAACATCAGTGTCTTCAGTACAAGTTAAAAATTGTATTTGAACTTGAGTGGATGAATAAAAATCTTTTATGTACTGAAATTTGAACAAGATATAGGGGATGTGTGAGCTAATAGTAGGAATTTAATAATTCCAGATATTCCTTTCGCAAACAAAGGCTAAAAAAAAAAAAAAAAGAAAAAAAAAAAAAAAAAAAAACTCTTTTGGAACAGGTCGCTCTAAATAATTCTTATTTGCCATTTTCTGCTTTTTTGCTCTGCTTAATACTGTACATAAATTAAAGTTTCAGCTACAAAAAAATCATCTTTCGGACAAGCCGCAACATACAGAAAACAGCGAAGATAAACGGACGTTTACAAGATGTATTTTGAAAGACAGTGAGTAAAGTCGGAATTTCTGTAATTCCCTATATTCCTTTGCCAGCAAAGCTAAATAGGGGAAATAAACTAAGTTAAAAATGAAAAGGTACTAAAAAAAAAAAAGAAAAAAAAAAAAAAAAAACTTAAAATATAAACGGTAAAATTTGCATTTTTCCGATTTTGTGGCCACAGCCTTTTTTTTACAACTATGCGTTTCGAAAAATTTTGCGTACTTCAGGTGTGGAACGTCACGTGATTTGTTGTTGGCTTGGTCGTTACCACGAAGACTCCTTTTGTTTTGGTTCCTACTCCTACAGCTGGTTTGAACAATATTTTGAAAGGGTTGGCAGTTGCTTTGCATCTTTTGACCTTTTGAGTCAGTCTTTTGCTCAAAATTTCAAATTTATATATCATTTTTATATTTTACACTTTATTTAGAGCGTCTTTGATACTTCATAAAAATTTCTCTAAGACAACAAAACAGAGACATATGACTTCACCATTGTTCACCCAAATTATTTATCCAGGAGTCATTCAAAATCTTTAAATGCAAATGTAGGAATTTGTTTAGGTAAAATTTCTTAAACTCTGACTGCACCATTAAGAACTTCCAATTTCAAATAGAAATATATACATACATAAATAGATAGCTGCTACTGCTTAGAAAACTGGGGAAAAAGTGCCAGTTTTAGAATATCCTATTTTAGAATATCATACATCTGATACTAATTGGACAAGATACAAAAAGATCCAGGTACTGAGAGCTATAACTCAAAATATTAGCTTTGAAATACTAATCTATGCTCAATAATTTAATGACTGATTTATTCTTACTTACTAATACTTTCAGCTGTAACAAATTCTAATTCTTAAAAACAAACTTTAATAAATACAAAATAATTAAAAAAAAAAGTCCAAACCTTTTCATTAAACTCCAAGTTACAGGAAGGCGGCTCAGATTTTGAATTATCTTTAACACGTTCTGCCATCTTTTCTTCAAGCCTTTTCTAATTATAATTAGAATACAATTAAAAAAAGTGAAAATGGGAAGCTAGGCAATACATGGTGAATCAACTAAAATTTGCACCATATTTACTTTCAAAATTAAAGCTGCATTTGATGTGCTGATTTCACGGAATGGAAGTTTAGATCATAATCTGAGTCCTTTTTAACAAAGTTACACTACTTTAAACAGGAGAATGCCTATTAACAGCTATAAAATAAAACTAGAAAAAATTAGAATGTCAAGAGATTTTTATTTATTATTATTATCATTATTATTATTATCTTTCAGGATTTTACAAGCTATCATAACATTAAAACTATAAATACCTGATAGTTGTCTGTTCCTTCTTGTCAGGTACCAGGAATTAAGTTGAATTAAGTTTTGAATCTACAGCAGAAGCAGCTAGAACATTAATTTTGCAACTTAATCTCCAATCACTTATTTGGCTCTATCATGCTTTCAAGGTATTATAATTCCAGTTTCCTGCACTTGTTTGAAGGGCTCACAAATAATACTCCAGATAGTTTATGTCTATTGGGATATTTTTCAGAATACACATTATTTGAAAAAATGTAACTTTAAGATACAATAACACACCGAACAAATATTAATTTAGAAGTCAAACAGCTGAGGATGATGGTTCGGTAAAACCATCGAAACTAGTCCTGTGGAAATTTGAAAATGTAATGCTGATTTTTGTTGTTTGACTTCTAAATTAAATGTAACTTTGTTAAAAATAATTAATCCACTAATTACTAAAATCCACATATGGGCTTAAATCATGAGCCTTTGTTTACACTTCTATTTTGTGAAACTAGCACATCAGTAGCCGTTATCACTAGCAAACAAAAGTTACTTCAGAAATAACCACGGTGCAAATTTTTGGTGATTAACCCTATAACAGCATTTTTACTAATATTTCTAAATAAGCACACATACATGCATCTTAACATATAACAGATATTTAACAACAATAACCCTTTGCGGCGCACTATACGTTAACGTCGGAATTTCAACAAAAAACGTTGTGTGCAGTCTATTTAGTCCTAAAGGAGTATACAGGTAAAATTTTGTAAAAATTGCACTTACCGTTTTAATTCTGTGGGTGTTCCATGAGGTGGAACACTGCGCCACTAGAGCTTTTAAAAGTGCGACTAAGTGAGCATTGCAGTGAAGCACAAAAATAAGTGGAAGCGTTTGTATAAGAATGAAAAAACTCTGTAGTATGGCTGTATACATGGTTTCCTGGATATACACAATATTCTTGAATATATACGGATAAATGAGATAAATATATATATACACAAGTCCTATATTTACAAATTTTCAGAAAGAGCGCTTCGGAAAGAGTTAGACCTCTCCGCGACATTTATGGAAAATTAATAATAAAAAGTTAACTACGATTAATATTAACAATAAAGAAAAATAAGCCTATAATCTATGCATACACGAAAAATATCAACACAATTATTGAAAATAAATGGGAATGAGACTAAAATGCGACAGCAAATAATTTGCACAGGTCTAAGTAAAGATGAGTCAAGCTACTAATAAAATTCCCGCCTAAAACCTACTCCCAAAAAATTCGAGATGCCAATATTAGGGCTTTCATAACACAAAACATACCTCACCCCTCAATACTGCTTTGTTTGAATTCTTTCCCCCAAAAAACAACGGAAACAGAAAACGTAAACAACGGATGTTCTCTCCTGAGCACACATGTTCTGATTCGTAACAGCATGAGATCGCTAAAGGCGCAATGTTCCTGCTAATGGAACACCCAAGTTTTATTCAATGATTCTGCGTATGGTTTTTGTATGAAAGATTAAAAAAATATAGAACAAATAATTTCAGTACAGTCATCAAAATTATGCTAATTTTTTTCCAAATAAAATTTTTTATATCATTAAAAAAATAGAGAAAATTACTTGAAAAAAAAGTGGATTTTAATAACACATAATAAATGAAAATTCTGTGTCTCCTTGTGATATGCTGCTATCTACTGTTTAAAAAGTAAAGTTCAAAGTATATTATAAAGGCATTTTTATCTATTTACGGTTGAATTTAAAGGTTTCAGAAGCGATTCAATTTGGGTGTTCCATGTAGTGGAACACTGAGCCACAAAGGGATAAAGGAGGTTCATTAAAAGCGAATGAGTTCACGCACATAACAGCAGTAGCATTTTAGATTTGAAACAGCAGTAGAATTTTGGATGATATTTGTTTGTAATTATGATCAAAAAAAAATTTTTCATGACACTTTTGGAACTTTGAAGCAAAATCTTTGGATGAGTGGAGGGTTAAAGAATTTTTATGAATAATAAGAAAAATGAAGAAATATTTAACATAAATCTAGAAGAATAAAACCAATTTGCACTACAATGTAAATAATAATAAGTCAAAAATAAGAAATTTTAAAAATTAACCTTATTTCTCATTTGATTTTTTTCTAACTTTCTCTGTTTGCTTAGTAGAGCTACTTTATCTTCAACAGAAAATTCCACAATAGGCCTCTAAAAAAATAAATAAATAAATAAATAAAATAAAGTAGCTTCAATTTATTTTACAGTCAAAAGTCTTTAATCCGGACGTCCACAATCCGGAATGTAATAAATTGTTTTAAGGAAATGAAAGATCAGCAGCTTTTCATCTTTTGAAGGCAAGGAAAATATTGATGAACTAGACCAGAAGTGTCAAAAATTATCTTTGGATTTCCAGATACAGTAACACTGGTCAACAAATTTACACTTGCCATAAACAAAAACAGGTAATTTTAAATAAATTGCTTTTTTTTTTTTAATGACCGAGCGCTTTATTTAACAGCCATTAGCCTTGTGCTACTACTAAAACTGGAAGTGGTGGCCATTTAGTTATGGAAGAAGCTAATACCACCATTGCCTCCTATGAAGAAACGGACAATTACAACCATGCCTTCTCCAGGCATGTCAGCACTTGTCATATGTATGTACCTTTTATGCAATTTGTTATATGTAAGTACTTAGTGAGTATGAAATAAAAAATTTATTACTCATTGAATATTTTTTTTTTTTTTTTTAATTAGGGAAGCAGCAATCTTAGGAATGTAAATGGATGTCAATGGCCTAGGAACGGCCCTACTGGGCCCATCGCTATGGCAGTCAGCGTACTTAATCACTATTCCAGCTGCACAGCATAAATTGACTCTTCTGAATGTGAAAATGAAAAGTTTGTAACATATAGCCCTTTTATGTGACAATAGTGAGAATAGACTCTGAGAAACAAGTCCAAATGTTTTAAATTTGTCAACATACAATTTCAATTATGTACTTATAAATTCCAGTCAGATAATGATTTTTAAAACAGAAGATAATACAGGATACAATAAACTAATGTTACTAAGAGGAACTTACTTTTTAATCCCAAAACTCCTTTAACTTAAAATACTTTTTCAAGTCCCTCCTTTTTCTTTCTCTTTAAATTAAACTTCATTTAATGTAATAAAAAGCAAATGGATATGTTGATCTACATTATTAAAAAAAAAAAAAAAAAAAAAGCATAGAGCTATTACATTACTCTGAATTTAAGCTGCAGCGGAATTTTAAAAAGGAAAATTGAATAGAACAGTAAAAAATGAACGAAACTCAATAGGATTTTAAAATTGAAAAAATATTTAAAAATAAAAAAGATTTTATAATTGAAATAATATAATCACATCTAATAATATTTACTATACAATTATTTTAATTTTTAATACTTTAATTATTTAAGGCTTCATTACTCAAGATTGGTAGAAATAAGTTTTTAAAATATTACTTTTTAATTTTGGCTATGCCCTAATTTTACTCCTTAAAAACTTTTGAATACAAAATGCAGCTTAAATTTGTATCTTAATGCTAAACTAAAACATGTAGGTAATTTGAAGCACTTTAAAAAATAAATATTTTTTAATATTTGCAGTTATTTATTTATACATCTTTGTAGTGAGCATTACTAGTTCTATCCAGAAATTAGCAGCAGCCAGGATCCTATCCACTCTGACATCTTTACCTCACCTTCTGAATATTTTGATGGAATCTTCCCCCTTGTTTATTGCTTACGGTAGTGGTCTCAAACTGGCAGCCCCAAGCAGGACCCGACTTAGCCTAACTGGGGCTCGGGCAAAATCTTTTTTGGGGCCTCCTCTGCTTCACTACTTCAGTAATGAACAAGAGAACTATTTGGAGATATTTAAATTTTTATAATAATAAACTTTTTATTCGATTTGGGGGCCCTTCTGTGATGTAGGGGCCCGGGGCAACTGCCCTGTATGCCCCTGCCTTAGTCAGGCTCTGGCCCCAAGCACACTCCAATTATGTATTTGTTAAAAATATGGTATTGGAAAAATTTCAAGATTTTAGACATTTTAAGCTTAACGTTATTTTCATTAAATCAAATAAGAATAATGCACCAGAAAATCTATAAATACAGCTAATTAATTTACACTGTAATATAAAAAATATCAGAGACTTGATGATGCAGATTTCATTAACTTTTGTTCATACTTGTCAAAAATTAAATTAGCTCAGTTATGGAATATGAATAACTGCTTTGCTTGGAAATACATTTACATAAGAAACACATAATTTTTCACATAAGAAAAGAACCCGTTGAACAGTCAGCATCTACAATTTGTGATGATGATAATTTCTACTAATCTCTCTCCAAGGCTGCAAACTGTATCAGAACAAAGATGCTACTAAGTGTCAGGCTGTCGCAACAGATTTATTTATATACAAGCATATGCATTTTATTTATGCATAAAAGAAATATTTAATAAATAAGAGAAACAGACTAAATGGTCATTAATTATTCTCTAGATTAGTTCCGCTTGGAAAATTTTCACTGAAAACTTAGAAAGATCCATTGGTATAATTGAATTACAAAACATAACCAACAAAAACGACTTTCAGGCATCAAACTTTAGCTTTTAAACAGAAAATAAAATTAATTTGAATTTTCCCCCCCTCTGGAATATTATTATTATTATTATTTATGTATGTTTTGATAAATATTTAGCAAGTGCATATCTGCCAACTGTTACGAATTTTTCGTAATTTTTACAAAAATGCATTTGTCTTTACGATTTTACAATCGTAATCTATTTTTTACGATTTTTTTTTTCCTTTTTCAAGTGTTTTTAGTGATTTTTGTCGAAATTTTAGAATTTTTCGCCAATTCAGCGATTTTCGCCAATTGCATCGTGTTTCACCGCCAACTACCGACTACTTCGAATCCAGTAACCCGCGGTATCTCCCAACTCGCCGCTGAACCAGCCAATCCAATGCGCTGAACTTGTTTCTCCCACTCTTTTCTTTGTGGGCGCCAGATTATTTTTTGCGCATTCACTTCAGCAGCAAGGGAATTACTCAGCGAGTGTGGATTGTCGCGTTCTTTTTTTTTTATTTGCACGTGCTAACGAATTTTCTTAATACGTCGTTGTTACGAAATGAGTTAAAAAAAAAACCGTATTCTCAATATTTTCGGCCTGCCTACAAAGCCGAATTTCACACAATTAAAGAATCCTTCAAAGGAAATAACTATGCATTTTGCAATGTGTGCGTGTGTGACTTCATAACAAGTCATGGTGGAAGAAGCGACATTGTGAAGCATGTTAAGTCTAAAAAGCATGAAGTTAATGCTTCGGCTTCGACAACGTCAAAGAAAGTGGATGATTTTTTTTTCAAATTCGGCTATGAATTCAGATGCCGATGTCATTTTGGCAGAGTGTTTGTTTACTGCATTCCTCATCAAACACGACGAGAAGATAGTTGGTACCTTAAAAAGAATAAAAAGAGCTGATGGAACACCAAAATATGATAGACTAGCAAGAATTTTATGTGCTATTCTCGTAATTCCACACAATGCTGAGTGCGAGAGAGTCTTCAGTGTTGTGAAGAAAAACAAAACTATGCTTCGTTTTTCAATTTCACCAAAAACTCTAGAAAACATTTTAATTGCTAAATGTTATGAGGAAACTAATTGTTATGACAGGAAATTTTCCAAAGAATTTTTGGCTAAAGCCAAAAAATGCACTCTAAATTCATTGCAATAATTTTTCTGTGTAACATTAAGTTCTTGTTTTATGTTTCCTAATAAATTTTTTAGTTACTACTTAATTGAGATTTACTAATGTAAGTACAATTTTCTTTTTTCTACGAGGGCTATCCAGAAAGTAGATTACGTTTTGGAATAAAAAAATAAACAAAGTATAGGAAACAAATTTTATTATATACAGATGGAAGCCACACTCAAATACTACTTTTCTACATAGTCACCATACAAATTAAGGCATTTATCGTAGCGAGTACGAGCTTGGAAATTTCCTTCGTCGAAAAATTCGGCCGCCTGCGCCTTCAACCACTTCATTACCTCTTCTTGCAGCTGTGCGTCGTCATCAAAACGCTGCATAGCCAGCCACTTCTTCATTGCTGGGAATAGGTGGAAGTCGCTCGGTGCCAGGTCGGGACTGTACGGCGGATGAGGAAACAACTCCCACTGAAAAGATTTCAAGAACTTTACGAGTGACATTTGCCGTGTGGGGCCGGGGCGTTGTCGTGAATCAACAAGATCTTAGAGCTCAACATTCCTCTGCGCTTGTTTTGAATTGCTCTTCTGAGTTTTTGGAGAGTTTGGCAATACCTTTGAGAGTTTATTGTAGTGCCTCTTTCCAGGAAGTCCACCAAAATTACACCTTTTCTGTCCCAAAAAACAGTCGCCATCATCTTCCTTGCCGACATTGTTTGCATGCATTTCTTGGGTTTTGGGGAGAACTTGTGTGCCCCCACTGCATTGATTGCAATTTCGTTTCACAGTTCACATGTTTCACCCATGTTTCGTCACCAGTAACGATGCGATCGAGTAAAGAGTCACCATCCTTATGGTAAAGCGTCCAAAAAGTTTCAACGCTGCAGCCATTCGCTGATTTTGTGGTCCTCTGTCAAGATTTTTGGAATCCATCTTGCACAAAACTTGTGGTAACCAAGCTTTTCGCTGATGATTTCGTGCAACAAACTTCGCGAAATTTGTGGAAAACTCAAAGAAAGTTCCGTTATTGTGAAATTTCGATTTTCACGGACTTTAGCATCGACTTTTTCGAAAAGTTCGGCGGTCACTATGCTGGGTCTCCCACTTCGATCTTCGTCGTGAACATTGGTTCGGCCATTTGAAATCTTATGACCCACTGACGCACTCCACCTTCAGTGATAATGTTGTCCCCATACACTTCACGAAGCTGCCGATAGATTTCTATCGGTTTACAGTTTTTTGCAGTCAGAAACCTTATTACTGAGCGCACCTCGCAGCTCGCGGGATTTTCAATTAACGCAGACATTTCAAACCATCACAGTATCTGAACGGAGCACAGCACGAACCTCTCACTAGCACGGCTAGATGCAGACTGAGCTGCGCAACGCTCTGACCCCAAGATGGCCGCGCTAGCCCCGCCCCTAGCGGACACAGACGGAAACGTAATCTACTTCCTGGATGGCCCTCGTAT